TGCGTGTATGTGCGTGAGTATGCGTGAGTGTGTGTTTGTGTATGTGCTTATGTTAGTTGGTGAGTCGTGGCATCAGCATCTACATTCAGCGTCGACGCATCATGCACAGTTGCAAGCAATCAATCAATGCGTCTTCGTCATTACCGTGGGAGTAGCACGCTCTTGTACGCGGCGAGACAGCGGTGACTGCTGCATCGGCTGCGATGTTACAGCTCGTTGCTCCTCCTACCACCAGCATACAGACACATCGTTGTGTGTGTGTGTGTGTGTGTGTGTGCGCATGTGTGAGTATGTGTGTGTGCGCATGTGTGAGTATGTGTGTGTGCGCGTGTGACCATGGGAAATACTTGCCTCTGTGTGTGTGTGTGTGTGTGTGTGCATGTCCGTGTGCATAGGCCCCTGCCCATGTGTGCGTGCAGTGTATCTTGTGCTAGCAACACTGCCTTCCAACAGCTCACCTCCAACACGTTGAACCAGCGCATAACGTGCGGAAAGCGAACGGCAAGCGCAGACTTGAGCTTTTCGCCATCTGAATGTGCACAACACAAGTGGGAGGGTGGAGTGATTTGTGATACAGTGAGGAACTTCAATGAGCTCCACAAGAACAGAAGCACACGTGCACACAAGCAACACAACCCCCAAACACAAACGCACACGCACGCGCGCGCGCAAGCACACACGTACAGAGTGGATCTGAGTTGGCCTGTTCGATGGTTAGGTGCTCCTGACAGGCAACAAAAGCAGTCACGTCCCACGCGCTGGTGCGTTCGCCGCCGACAAAGCGCATGTCAGTGACGGAGAAATAGTCCTCCAGTCGCTGCAGACCTTCATCCGTGCCCAAGTTGGTCATGCAGCCCAAAAACGGCCAGTACTCCTCCCACGACACGCCGGCTAAACGCGCTAGTGCACGCCCTTTGATCTCCATCCCCTTGCATGGGTCTGCCTTGCGCAAGTCCTCCAATTCGGACCACATGTCCACCGTGACCGCGCTCTCAAGATTCGATCGCATCTGCAGCCCTTTGGCCGTCAGCACGGGCGTGCGAATGCCAGCGGGAGTCGGCGGTGCGCTGTGCAGTGGCGTGTTGGTGGAGGTGCTGGTGTGGCTGCTCCCGTGTGTTGCGGCTGCCGCTGTTGTCGCTACAGATGTATTTGTTGCGGCTGTTGTTGCGGCTGTTGTTGCGGTTGTTGTTGCGGCTGTTGTTGCGGCTGTTGTTGCGGTTGTTGTTGCGGCTGTTGTTGCGGCTGTTGTTGCGGCTGTTGTTGCGGCTGTTGTTGCGGCTGTTGTTGCGGTTGTTGTTGCGGTTGTTGTTGCGGTTGTTGTTGCGGTAGTTGTTGTTGCGGTTGTTGTTGCGGTTGTTGTTGGTGTGTCAACAGTACCAGTGCTTGCAGCGGCAGTTGCATCCACTCTCCTGTGGTCTGAAGGTGATGACACCGAGGTCTTGTCCAATGCCAGCGTGAGTGCATCAACATCATCCCCACCATCGCTTCCATCCACATCACCCTCATGAGTGTGGCTGCCTTGGATGCCTGCCAATGGTGCTGATAGCACGGGTGCAGACACAGCCCGCCCGCCCGTCCGCAGCAACAACGACGGAGCAGTCGCCGTCGATGCAGATGTGTCCGCTGAAGGCGCATTTGTTGATGTTGGTGTTGCTGTACCTGTACTGGAAAAAGCGCGTTCTTTCCCCCTTTCCTCCTCCTCCTCCGCCTCCTGCTGCTGCTGCTGCTGCTGTTGTTGTTGTTGTTGTTGTTGGGGTTGTTGTTGTTCGTCGACCTCAGGCAGCGGTTGCATGTCCTTCAGCAGGCTACCCGTGGCATTGCTCACGTTGCCACCACCACCACCACCACCATCACCACCACCACCACCACCACCATCACCACCACCACCACTGCTGCTGTTTTCGCGCATGAGGGCGCCGAATCGTGCCTGCAGTGCAGACATGTCGCTGCGGGACCGCACGAGCGGCGACTGCACTCCGCGCGCAGCACCTGAGGTGGTGATATTCGTGATGATGGTGGTGACGGTGATGATGTGATCATGTGTGTCAACGATAACTGGTACACACACACACATATGCAAACACGCGCACACACGCACACAAGGCACAGGTGGCGCACACACGACACAGCATCACCTGTTGGGCCGCGGCGCCAAAACGACGAGAAGGCGTCCGCTTCGGCTCTTGTCATTGGACCAGCAAACGCGCGAAACTCAGACCTGACACCGTGATTGCATGAACGGGAGTTCATGACGACACACACACACACACACACACACACACACACACACACACACACACACACACACACACACACACACACACACAAAAGGAGTTGAAGAAATGCAGTGGTGGGCCACAGAGGGTGAAGGTGAACAATGCACGAAATAACCGACACGGAACATGACGAGAGTCACCACTATCCCCACCACCAGCATCGGCATGAAGCAACACAACAGGCGACTGACTCTTGTGTTGTCGATTGCATGTACTCTGGACACCACGGCGCCCCAACACGTGTGCGCCGTCCACGGCCAACGAGAGGAACGAACCACCGGCCCGCAATCACGCGTAGCACACGCGCCTGGTGACATGGCGCGACACAGATATACGTGTATGTGTGTGAACGTGCATGTGGTCGTCACGGGCAGTTGGCAGTTGAATTTGTGCTGGCAGTAGTGTTTTGAGTGTTGTGGATAGCATGTGGCACTGACCTTGGTTTCTTCAGGGACGGCACCTTTCACGCGTGTGCATGCAACCTGAGAGTTCAACGTGACAGGTGGTGGGTGGGTGCGTGAGTGCGTGAGTACGTGTGCGTGTTAGTCAGTGTGTGTGCGTGTATGTGTGTGAACAACAGAGCCACAGCATGACAGTCATGTGTGTGTGTGTGTGGAAATACAACTCACGTCAGCCAGTGTGCGATTCCCAAACGCACGCGGAGGGGGCGTACCGCTGCAAAACAACACACAAGTGCACGTATGTGTGTGTGTGAGTGTATGAGTGTGTGTGTGTGTGTGTGCACTCAAGGCGACAGAGCAGCAGCAGCAGCAGCACAAGGAATCAAAGGACGCGTGACAATGAACAACATGCCACACCGACGGCACAACACACCCGAGCAAGTTGAGCAGGAGACGAAGGGTATCAGCGTGGCCGTGTGCACTTGCGAGATGCAGTGCAGTCATGAATGCGTCATCCTCATCCTTCGACGTGCGCCGGCGGGGATCAGCAGGCTGTGCACACGTGCACATGTGTGTGGTGTGTGCGTGTTCGTGTGTGTGAGTGAGAGAGCGAGGGAGTGAGAGCGAGGGAGTAGGACATGGGCATGGCAATCGGTTCACCAACTTCAAAACACCACCAAGCAGCCAAGCACACACACACACACACACACACACACACACACACACACACACACACACACACACACACATACAAAACGCGCACCGGCTGGCCGCGGATGGGGAACATGAGGTACTTGAGGGTGAGCGCCGTTGCGAGGCGATCAATTTCACGCAGCTGTTGGCGATGCACCACGCAACAGCAAGTTAGGGTGCAAAACAATAAGGGGCCCGATGTAACACAAGGGTGGGGTGGGATGAGAAGGCGCGGTGAAGATCGTGGTAGGAACGTGTGAAACAAGGAAGGAAAGAAAGGAGGGTGTATGTGTGGCAAAGCAAAGTTGTGTGCTACCTTGGACTCATCCGGCGTCTTGTCATCGCCAATCAGATCACTCTGCCATGAGACACACCGTCAGATGAGATACACATGACAACACACGAACGCGTTTCACATCATTCCAACCATTCAATACGAATATCCCTCCCAAGTGTGTGTGAAAGTGCAAATCACGCACACAAGTCCAAATTTGTGTCGACATTGCAATACATACGGGAGCACACCACACCACGTCATGCCATGCCACCACCCTTCTTCTCCCTTCGTCCTGGTACAATCACGGCAACACACCTCCACGGCCTCCTGAATTCGGCTGAAGAGGGCGCGAGCAAGTTCCGTTTCCCCGCGAATGGCAATGGCGTGCAGCGGCGTTTCGCTCACAACGTCGTCCTTTGTGTGTGTGTGTGTGTGTGTGCGTGTGTGTGTGTGTGTGTGTGTGTGTGTGTGTGTGCGTGTGTGTGTGTGTGTGTGTGTGTGTGTGTGTGTGTGTGTGTGTGTGTGTGTGTGTGTGTGTGTGTGTGTGTGTGGGTGCGTGTGTTTGGTCGTGTGTGTGGGTGTGTGTGTGTGTGGGTGGGTGTGTACCTCCAAATACAGGTCAATCACCAATCATGCGTTGAACAAGCACGGCCCAAGTTGACAGCAACAAGGAACCATACAACCACACCAAGGAGCCACTAACCGCCTGTGGTTTACGGAGACGGCATGGAAGGGTGTGCTCGTCCTTGATGCTCGATTCAAACAGCAACTTTGGATCGCAAATGAGAGCCTTGAACCTGCAACACGCACGAACGCGCACATGCGTGTGAACATGCGTGAATGTATGCATGTGTGTGAATGCGTATGTGTGTGTGTGAGCGTGTGTGTGTGTACGAGAACTGTGTTCGTCAAACCAGAACCTCGTCTTGCCCCTCCCTCCTCCCCCTCCCCCCCCCCCACACACACAGAGGCACGCCCTCGCGGCGACTCACGTTGCAAGGTCGCTGGTTTCGATCGCTGTCTCAAGCTGCCCCAACTTGGCGCCAAGCCCTTCCCTCCGCGGCGTTGGCACGTGCTCTTCACCAGCACTCACATCTGCCGCCACCTTCGTCTTGTCCTTCACCGGCGTGCTTCTGGCGTCATCATCACCACCACCACCACCATTGGGTGTGATTGGATTGCCCTCTCCATCTTGATCGTTCGCACCACCGACAGCAGCGGCTGCCACTGCGCTGTCCCTTCGCTTCTGCTCGGCCATCGCTGCTTCGCACCACTCCCGTGCTGCCGTCAGCGAGCCAACAGCAACAAACCCGACACTACCGCCCAGCGAGCGCCCGAGTTCACGTGCCAGCGCCTTGGCCTCACGTGCCCGTCGTTCCGTGCATCTGTTCATCGCCGTCAACGCTGCTCGCTTCTCATCCTCAGCTTCAGCGGTGGTGGTGGCAGGGGTGGTGGATGAGGAGGTGGAAGTGGTGGGAGGGACACTGCTGCTGCTGCTGTCGTGGTTGCTGCTGCTGCTGCTGTTGTTGTCGTTGCTGTTGTTGTTGCTGCTACTGTTGCTGCTGTTGGTGGTGCTGGGTTGTTGCTGCGTGGTGTCTGCTGGTGCAACAAAGGAGATGGTGATGCACGGGTTTGTCTTCGCCTCACGGGCCAGTATGGACAGGCGTGAGGAGAAGAAGCGAAGCACCCCTGCTGTGGCATGCGCTGCTGCTGTGGCTGGCGCACTGCCTTGGCCTTTGCTATCGTCTTGCTCTGCTGCTTCATGCTCTCCATGTTGGCCCCCTTCTTCTGATCCTCCCTTGTCTATGATGGCGCTCTCTCGTGCCACTGAGAGCTCTGAGAGCTCTGAGTCCGTGTTGAGGTGGATGGGAGCAGTGTGGCTGAAGAAGGCCATCACCACTGGGTTCGCCAGCAGTCGCAGTCCCTCATCCTCCGACCCAACAACCCGGCAGAACACAATGCCAGGCAGCTCTGTGTGTGTGTATGTGTGTGTATGTGTGTGCATGTGAGTGAGTGAGTGAGTGAGTGTGTGTGTGTGTGTGTGTGTGTGTGTGTGCGCGCGCGCGATTGGATCGCGTGGGTGTGAGGCTGATGCGCAGTGCACACAGCAGCGAGAGAGCGGTGCACACAAGCAGCGTACACACACATACACACATGCGCACACGTGTACCTTCGAGCCGGTCCTGCACGTGTGTGCGCTTGCTGCGTAGGACAGTGATCTTGTACACACCGCCTGCAAGAGACGCCAAGAGGAACAAATGTAAGCACGCAACGCGTGAACGAGACACCCCTTTTGAAAGCCATACACACACTGTGCTTACTTGCGAGGCAGCACTGGTCATCGTCGTCGTCGTCGTCGTAGGGGAGCGAAGAAAGATCAACGGCACGGACATGTGCTCCCTTGAGACGCACGCGCCCAGTGTTCAGCACATCCAACGATGCAATGGCAAAGAACACCGTGTCCTTTGGCTCGGCATTGCTGTCCACATACGCGATGCCCTCTACATACGCGGCGGGGACGCGAGTGTGAGTGAGAAGTGTCACCGGGCACACAGAAGCAGCGCAGACACACACACACACACACACATACGCAGAGGGACAGGCGCCCACACACACACACACACACACACACACACACACACACACACACACACACACACACACACACACAACATACCTTCGTCAAGGCGGGACTTGAGCTTGCGCAGCGCCGTCTTGCGGATAAAGGGGTTGATGAGCTTGACTGCAGTGTAGCTTGTCACCCCCACCTGCTGCAGCTGGCTCGCCAGCTCCTCATTGCTCAGCGCTCCCACATCCATCGTCGAGTGTGTGTGTGTGCCGTTAACGTTGAGTCTTCTGTCTCTCTTCGTGTGGCGTTTTGGTCGCGAAAACTCTCCACAACCTTCAAGATCGAACGTGCTCACATCACACACACACACACACACACACACACACACACACACACACACACACACACACACACACACACACACACACACACACACACACACATGACAGCACGCACGATGCGCATCAGCACGAGCAGGTCCTTCCACCGCGACCGCTTTGTTGTGCATGGAAGCGCTGGCCTCCTTGTGCTGCTGCTTGCGGCCTGGTCATCGCCATCATTGTCGTTCTCCGCGGTGATGGGAACGGAGCACGAGGACGCGCCGACGGTGGTCGTGGACAGATATGGAAACATGCTGGTGGACACGTATCTGCCGGGCAACGCGTCGCGGGAGGAGGCCGGCGACTCGCCGCCGCCACTGCTACCCAAAGTGCGAGTGAACGGGATCGACGTGCACGAGCTGCACGAGCGTGTGCGGCAGCTGGAGGAACAGCTCGGGGCACAGACCGGGTTCTCAAGTCGCTTGCTCGTCCAGCTGGGTGGCGCCGGCGATGACCACGCGTACGCCGGTGCGTTCGACTGGCGAAACGGCCGCGTCTTCATTGGGGGACGCACCGCGAGCGACGTGCCTGGCGCCGTGCTGCTGGGCTTTGTCGCGTGCATGGACCGCGTCACGGGCACGGTCATCTGGCACACCGTGCTCAACTCGACGCGATCCAGCGTGGTGCTTGACATCGCCCTCGATAACGGCTCAACCGAAGACGTGCTGGCGACAGGATTCACATTCGGACCCATTGCTGAAGGCACGATGTTTCACGGCGGCCAGGACAGCTTTGTGGTGCGTCTGGACAGCGATACAGGCGACATTGTGTGGAGCCAACAGCTCGGCAGCGCTGGCGATGAGTCTGGACGGGGCGTTGCCGTAGACACGGATATGCAGCGGGTGTACGTGTCCGGGCACAGCGGCCTCAATGGCGACGGGCACAGCGGGGGAGAGCCGATTGCCCACGCCACCGTGACGTGCTTGCACCTGGCCACGGGCCAAGTGCTCTGGACCAAGACGTTTGACGACAACGACATGCTCAACTCGTTGGCCATTCGCCTTCACCCACGCCGCCACACGCTCGCCGTGGCCGTCACTGGTGAAGCGCCGCTGGCGGGGCACATGCAGGGCTTTGGCGACCTGGACGCCTTCGTGGTCATGATGGACAGTGTGGATGGCGAGGTGCTGTGGGTCAATGGGATTGGCACAGACAAGGCAGAGATCTTACACTCCGTAGCGATCGACGAGACAACTGGCGATGTGTTCCTCTCCGGCACCACGACCGGTACGCTCGCTGCTGCTGCTGGCGAGGACACCACTGACCGCAGCGGCGCTATTGCAACGTTTATTGCGCGGTTTCGTGGCGCGGACGGGCAGCTCATGTGGGTGAGGCAGTTTGGCTCGTCGTCGCACGAAAACAGCAGGTCTGTTGCCGTTGACAGCGCACGGGGCAGCGTGTACATGTGTGGATGGACTCGCTCGCCACTGCTCAACAAGACGTTGGTTGGTAACACAGACTCGTTTGTCATGCAGCTGCGCATGGCATCTGGTGAGCCCGTGCGTGCAGCCATCATTGGCTCGGTGAACGGAGACGAGCTTGGGCAGTCTGTGGTGGTGCACCCCAAGACGGGCGAGGTGTGCGTGATTGGGGACACCTCGTCTGTGGTCACCCCGCACGATCCCATTCTGCCGCTGGTGGGCGGTGCCGGTGGCGGCGGTGGACAGGACGTGTTTGTGCGCTGCTTTGTACGACCAAACTATTCATAGGCATGTGTGTGTGTGCGTGTGCATGTGTGTGCGTGTGTCTGTGTGTGTCTGTGTGTGTCTGTGTGTGCTTGTGTCTGTGTGTCTACATCTCTACGTGCATATCTGTACATTAGAGTGTGTCTTTCTATCAACTCGCCTATATTGGTGTGCTTGTGTGCCTGTATTGGTGTGCTCTTGTGTGCGTGCGTCTGCATGCATTGAGGGAATGTGGCTTCTCCTCTCGTCCCTCCCTTGCACTGACACGACAGACGAACTGTCACGACTCAACCGGAGTTGTAGCTTCCTTCTGTTTATGTATGGGCTCGCGTAATTGAACCGCTGTACGCTGTGAGAACAAGTGTATGCACAACGCGTAAGTCACTCGGGGGGGGGGATTGTGTGATATTGAACATGGGAACGCGTAACTCTTCATCCGCTGCGCGCCAATTCAGTAGCACACTAAGTTCTGGTGTGTGTCTGGAAAGTGTGCACGTCGCAGAAGTTGTGTGTGGGGGGGGATCATTTTGTTGGCGATGGCCCTGAGCTGGAGCCAGCACTCGTCGCAGCCCGAGGTGGCGATGATGATGATGGTTGTGGTGGTGGGGCATCGGAGAGCGAAAGCTCCACTTGATTGTTCGGAGATCCGCACACAGCGTCCACAATCTGCCGTGCCACGGGTGTGGGGCGAGAGCAAGGGGAAAGAGGTGAGCGTGTGAGAACCAAGCATGCACTTGTGAGATGCGCATCTTGAACTCACAAGAGTTGAAACCAACACACATCCACACAAAAGCGCATTCACTCACACATCATTGTGACACACACACGCACACACACACACACGAACAAGCGTATTCACGAACAACCACACAAACAAGCGACCAAGCAAACATGCCTTCGAGTTCACGAACACACATCATGACACCGCAACAACAACAGCATCTGGTACCTGCTGGTGTGTGAGATTCGTCGCTGGTGTTCCGTTGACCGCCATGACAAGGTCGCCTGCCCTGACACCGCACGACTCTGCGTGTGACCCAGGCTTCACGCCACGCACAATTGTCACGTGCTTCCCCGTGCTCTCATCAGGTGTGCTGCGGAGTGCAAGCCCGTAGCTCTGTCATCGCATAGAAAGATAAGCAAACACAAGAGTGAGAGTGGCACAACGGTGACTTCGGACTGGTCGGGGGGTGGACGCTTTGTACTGGAAAAGAGCAGGCAGACGTTATGCGTGCAAGCAAGGAAAAATGCATTCAACAGGCACAGCGGCACGCTCCTCCCCTTGCACAAAAACATGCAGATATACGCACATGAACACGCGCACGCACGCATGAACGAACGCACGCACGCTCATAAACATGCCGCCGTACCGAGCTGCCGCGTCGAATAATAACGTGTCGTGCGCTGGTGGAGGAAGAAGGACCACCGCTGCCATTCACAGGACTCTCTGTTGCTGGACGGGCAAACAATAGCGACAGCGTTCCTTGCTATCATGTGTGCAGATGGCAATGCGCCCGAAAAGAGGGAGGCGAGTGGAGGAATTTGGTGGAGGGGGGAGGTGAGGGTGAGGGTGAGGGTGGGGGGTGAGGGTGAAGTACAGCACGTTAAACCACAGCAGAGTGCACGCAGCGTCTTAGCAGATGCACGCACACACACACACACACAAGCACGCGCACGCACGCATACATACACACACACGCACCTGAGCAATGGCATCGGTGATAGAGGAGGAGAGGAGAGAGCACACGGCGGCAAACCGCATCCTGCTCACGTCGCGATGGTTGATGCGCAAGAGAACATCTCCACGCTGCAGGCTGCTCGTCTTGCCAAGCGTGAACGAGGGGAACACGCTTTGCACCTGGTCACGATTCGGAGTGTGAAAATACCAACAGCATCAATAGGATATGAGCATATGGAGATGTGAGGTGTCACGGATCAGTGACGCGCACGTGATTATGGCACAGTTGCTGGGCAGATGTATTCACATGCACAACCACACACACACACAACCACGTTCCACACACACACACACACACACACACACACACACACACACGCACACACGCACACACACAACCACGTTCCACGCACACACACACACACAATATCACGTTCCACAAACGCACGAATCCTCACCAGGGTGTAGTCGTGTTTGTGGCCCTCCAATTTTCCAGGGGCAAAATCAATCCCAAGACCCGTCACTGTGACATGTAATCATCATGTTATCATCATCAGCAATCCCATCATCAGCAACCCAATCAACAACGATAACAACAACAGCAGCAGCAGCAGAATTGTGAGTGGATGTGATACGAGATCAGTTTACATCACATCACAACGCCACGCCCTCACTCATGCCCGGGCATTTCAAAGACACAACAGGATAAGCAAACCATGGACCGTCCATCAGAAAACGCATGCAACCCGTGTAACGTCCACACCTCTCAAGTTGAATTCGACGTCGACGCGAATGATTTCCATATCTTCCAACGAAGCGCGGCGGCGAACGGGCGGCGCCTGTGGAGACCTGTTCTTCCACGCCTTTGCAACGATGCTCTCAGCCTCGTAATCCTATCGTGCATGGACAACACAATGGCACAACCCAGCGTGTGGGTGAGCTGCATTGACTCGCCACGACAGACGAAAACACTGACGCAAGCACGCGAAAGAAACGCACGCACACACACACGATACACGATACACGATACACGATACACGATACACGATACACAACCACAACCGCACACACATAACCGCACACCATGCCTCTCACCTCTGAGAGCGCGGGCATATTGACCATGGGCTGTCGGCGGGACGCTGGGGTTTGTCGCGAGCCCGTGCCATCATCACTCTTCCACAGGTGCGCGACCTTGCTGTCCACGTCCAGGTTTGGCATGGGCTGTGTGGATGCACCGCGTGAACTTGTCAGCGACGACGGGCTGGTGGGTCGCTCGCCACTGCTCGTGGTCGCGGTGATGGACGAGCACACACCGTCCTCGCTCGACAGCAGCGAGTGGTCCGATGTCACAGAACGCGATTTGGTTCGCGAGCGTGAACCTTTGCGGCGCTTGCCCGTGTTGGGCCGCGAGCCTGACGCGCGTGTCGACACACGTGGGCTCCGCCTTTCCGCCGAAGCAGATGAAGCAGAGGACGGCTTGGGCGGAGGGGAAGGCAACGCCACCCACACACGCTCATCATCATCTCCGCTTCCACATTCTTCATCCACCTGCTGCTGCTGCTGCTGCTGCTGCTGCTGCTGCTGCTGCTGCTGCTCGTTGCTCTTGCTGGTTGGCTGCGTGGCCATACCGACCGTCTCCGCCTGGCCTCTGTCGGCCGCAACAGCTGCTGGTTGTGGTGACGCGTCTGTCACCGGTGTCGCTGAGGAGGAGGAGGAATTGGTGGTGGTGGCAGGTGTGGTGGTGTCGATACCAGCGCCACCGCTGGGCCGAGTCGGTAGTTGCCGACGATGTTGCTGCTGTTGCTGTTGTTGTTGGAGTTGTTTGTGTTGTTGGTGTTGTTGAGAATGTGCTTCGCTTGTTGAGCGCGAAGTGGGGTTGCTGCCTTGCTCCCGCTGCTGTGGGGCAGCTGTCTCGTTGGTTTCTGCGTCTGCGCTTGCTTCGCTCTCCCCTTCAGCATCATCATCATCATCGTCATCATCGTCGTCGTCGTCGTCATCGCTACTTGTGCCATCCTCGGCCTCCCGGTCCATCGCCATCTGCTTGATGCGATCGAATCTGGTTGCACACGAGGTAATGGCACGGCGGTGAGGCAATTCGAGGTTAACATCATGTTTGGAGTGCAGATGTACATGACAAGGCCCTTTCACGCGCGCAAGTGCCAACAGCCACTTGTGCTTGCACACACACACACACACACACACACACACACACACACACACACACACACACACACACACACACACACACACACACACACACACACACACACACACACACATTTACACATACGAACCGTTGTGTGTCGTGCTTGACGGTGAGCGTCAGGTGCGCCGAGTCCCGCATGAGTGTCTGCACCTCTGTGAGCATGACATGCGCCACATCGACGTTGTTGATGAACAGAATCTCATCGCCCACCACAAGTTGCCTGCAAGCACGCGCTGGGGAGTTGGCGTGGATGCCCAGAATGAAAATGCCTGCATGCATGCGAGTGTGCAATTGCAAAGGATTGGAACAACAGGTGAGTATATGTGTGTGTGCGTGTGTGTGTGTGTGTGTGTGTGTGAATGTGAATGTATGCTCGAAGCGAAGGAAACAAAACACTCAAAACAAACGCAATCAACCAACAAACAACACACAAACACACAGCACGACGCACACAAGTGCGTGGCATCTCACCCAGTGGGTCTTCTGCCGTGTGCGGGCCTAAAAGCACCATGCCATATCCACTGTCTCCAGACGACAGTGGAACTGATGCGCGTTTGCAGTACAAATAACAACATGCGCAACAGGACCATGCATCCAATGAAGTGAGACTTCATGAACCGGTGACGTCAGACACGCACACCCCACACCCCCTCAAGTGCACTCACTCCAGCAAACAATGCACGCGAACAGATTAATGCATGCATGCAGGATCAAGAGTTCATCATACCCATTCGGAGGCTGCCAGGCGGAAGCTGAAGAGCCGGTACAGCACAAACACCAGAAAAGTACACACACACACATCAAACTGGTGAGCAAAGTGCTAGATGACACGTTGTACTGTGATGGTGCGAAAATGTGACGGTATGATGTTGTTACATCATATTATGGTGCGATCACACAATTCGAAAGCCCACAGCGAATGGGCAAAATTCCAGAGAGATTGACAGGACGTTGTGTGGGACAATGCAGCACACACCGGGATTGGGCTCTGCATGATCTCGTGTGCTTCGGCAGCGGTGCTTCGATCGTGATCCCCAGTGACGCGCTGCTCTTGATGTTCTTGCTGCGCTTGTGTGGGTGCCACTTCTTCTGCAATGGAGGCGTGCGTGTGTGCGCGTGTGGGCAGCGGGATGGGACGCTGGCGGCTTGCAATCTTCAGTTCGCCCGTGGATGCATCACGTGAGCCTGGAAGCAATTTCTGCTCCAGCAAATCGCTTGGTCGCCGAGAGGACCATCCGGAATGTGTTCCAAACAACGCCTCCGCCTTCTGCCACGACGCTGTATGACGTGGTGTATGTGTGTTTGCGATTGTGTATGATTGTGTGTGTGTGTGTGTGATTGTGTGTGTGATTATGTGTAATTGTGTGTGATTATGTGTAATCATTGTGTGTGCGTGCGTGTGTGGTTGTGTGTGCGTGAATACGATTGCGTGCCGGCAAACACTGTCAGGTCAAAGGTTGTGGATGATGCAACATCGCCGACACCACTTCAACTCACGCGCTCGGTGCCTTGGAGAGAGTGACGGCGGAACTTGGTGCTCCAGGTGCTGTCGTGTCATTTCCACTGCACGCGTAGACGTGCGCGAGTGCGCATGCAGTGAGTGGCTTGGCTCACCACAGCCGTGGTACTGCAAGAAAGAATACAACAGCAAGCAGTAACAGCGCCCTCAAGAACAACACGTGGCATGCAACACATGTGTGTGACATACCCAAGTCTTGTGCTCCGCGCAAGTGGGAAAACTCTACCATATTGACAGGTGGCGCCTCCTGCAAGAGCGCAACCACGTGTTTCATGCAGGCAACATGTCAGCAACACCTTGCCAATCAGCACCAGCATCACTACACTACACATGGTAGAGCAGAACCTCCACTAACATTTGGTACACAGCAGTCAACAGCAGCCACACCAACACACGGTCGCACGCGCACACACACATTCATTCGCACACACGCGCGCGCATGCACACACACACACGCACACACACACAAGCGCGCGCACACACACACACACACACGCGCACATACACACGCCCACACACAAGCACACAAGCACACGCACGTCGTGTTCTTTTGACGCAACAAGCGTTCGAATGAGGAAGAAGCGGAGTGTGAACCCAACAGCAATCGCGTCAATCGCAGGCGTCATGTCATCGGTATCCACCAAGCAGTGCTCGTTGACGTACAACAACACATCGCCAGGCAAGAGGCCGTGTGGGCTGTGCTGATCTGTGTTTGCACTGTTGGGTTCGTTGTCACCAAGTCGTTGCGACTTGGGCTCGTGTGCATTGTGCCCAGTGTCGCTGTGGCTCCCGCTGTACTCCGTATTAGTGTCGTTGTGGGCCAAGTGAGTACGGCTGGTGTCGAGAAAGGACGATGCTGGGTGAGTTGTCGGGGGAAGAGCATTGCTCGCCACACTGTCCACCACCAAACACGTGTGTTCGCTGTTGGGGATCTTGTCTGGATGCACTTGCACCAGCGGCATCGCCTACAATGCGTGATGACAACAATAATGAGATTAAAGGCAAGGTGTCAGCTTGTCAGGACACAAGAGGCTCATGCAAGGAAGACATGTGGACGCAGCAACAAACGTACACATGTTCACTCGCGACCGCTCGCGCACGCATAACTACACAAACGAAAAAACGCACAGGTACAAGCAAACAATCACAAGAACACACACGCACCTGTGGAATGTGTTGAATGGTCATGGCCACAAGCTGCTTTGGAGCTCTGCCGTCGCCACCGCCATCATCATCATGGTCACATTCGCGACCAACGATCAAGATGAAAGCATCATCCGCCTTATGCAGGAGCCGTAGCACGTCCTCGCGTGGCATGCCAAAGAGAGGCGTGTTGTTGAAGCCAAGCAGGCAATCGCCAATCTGCAAGCCAACGTCACGCATCATGGAATCCTTGGCCATTGCATGCACACGAAGGTAGTGCAGGTTGGGGTTGGCTGTGGACACACATGTGCGGCGTGCAGTTGAAGTGTTTGGATGGGGCGAGGGTTCAATGAAGTGTGAGCAAGACACGAAGAGACATGACACAAGTACTCCCATGCACGAAAACCAACTCAGCTGCCAAATAGCCAGCCACAGCAGTGGGAATCGAAAAACACACAAACACGTACACACACACACAGCATACACACGCATACACGCAGCTTTACCTGCAAGGTGGGCTGGGTAGCCGCTCAACACGGTATCAGCGACAGAAACACCAAATGACTCGCTGGTGCGTGCAGGCACGCGAAAGACCAAAATGTCGTGGCTGGTAAACGGGGTGGCCTGGATTGAAACCAAGGAGTTCACGGGGTTGAGGGTCGTGGTAGTGAGTAAAATTGGAGCAGAAACAAAGCAAGCATGTTAATGCGATGACAACACACGATGACAACACACGATGACAACACACGATGACAAGACAATGTCGACGGGGGACGTGCCCACCTAACACAACAACACAGTCGACACATAACGAAGCATGTTCACTTACCGAGAGGATTGTGGTTCGCAATCCATTGGCCTCGCTGGTGCTCATGAATGAGGTGTCGTGCGTGTCATGTTCAGGATCTGCGCCATCATGCCCGTATTCGTATCCATCGGCATCACGCATTGTGTACATGTGATCGCCGCTTCCTTCGCCATAACCATAGTCACCACGGCCATCACCATCCACGTCGTCGCTGCCACCATCGCTGATGTACCCAACACCCTCTGGGCGGGATGCTGCGTGCTGGCTGAACGCATACGCCACATCCTTGTGCCACTCCTCCATGTACGCCAGCCTGTCATCCTCCCGACTGTGCGTGTGTGTGTATGTGTGGGGGGGGGGTGGCAGGGACGTTGTCAGTCAAGCTTGACTGTCGTCAGTGCGGATTCTGGTGGCAACTACAAAGCACGGACGCAGGCGCCACACCTGGCAACTGATTCACATGGCCACCACCACCCCCACCACCACCACCAGTACCAGCATCAGCATCGCTTCAATTGCACCCACCTTGTTCTGAGGGCGCGGTTCAGGTTGTAGGAGAGGGAGTCAAGGACAGTTGGATCAGAGGGCGGTTGCAGCACGATGGCGGAATTGTTGTGCACGTGTGAATGCGCCGTGCTTGTGTCTGTGATGTTGCCGTTGACGTCCGCTGCGGAGGATGCTGAAGACACTTTCCGTCGTGCAACCACCAGCGACACCTAACGAGGTGTCATGAAAGATGATGGTGGACAGTATGACACACACACACACACAAAAAAAAAAAAAAAAGACAGGAAAATGTGAGCTGGAAAGGTATGGGGGCAAAATGGTGTTCGCGTCCGCCGCACTCACACTCACACTGTGCGCTTCAGCAGAGCAATCAGCACACCCGCACTCACACTCACACTCGACATGCGTACAGTTTGGCCGGAAGCTTTGAGGAGGGTGATGGCGGAGTCATACGTGTCGTCGACAACATTCATGCCCTCAATATTAATAATCTGATCCCCAACCCTGTCAAAGAAGCAAAGGATCAAACGCACCCCGTGCGAAAATCGATCATGTGAGAGATTACGGTACAAGCTAAGGTCGCACATACCTTTAAAGACAAACAACACGTGCACACACGTACACACACAACACACAAGCAAACACACACACACACACACAAACACACACACAACACACAAGCACGCACGCACGCACGCACGCACGCACACACCTAATTGCTTTGCAGCGATCGCATGCACCGCCCGGAACAATGTCGGCGATGAAGACGCCCTGTGAACCAACGTGAACGTCCTCGCCCTCCAATCCCGCCACTGTCATTCCAAATCCTTCGCCATCTCTCCGCTCAATCTTTGCGTGGACAAGATCAACCTGCTTTGCTTCCTGTGCATCTGTCGCTGTGATGGATGAGAACGTGTGTTGACGCGTACATGCATGTATGTGTATGTATGTGTATGTGTGTATGTGTGTGTGTGTGCTTTTAATGTGAGTGGAAACACAAGCCCGCAGGTGTACTTGATTGGTGGACGAGTGTATTCGAGCGTGCTTGCAGTGTTGTGTGCGTATGTACGTGGCAAAGGTGAGTGTGACATGACATCTCGATCAGGAATGCTGTGTACAAGTCAAGCGGCACTCACAAGATTCGCCGGCTGCGTGCCCATTCAGTGTCAGCGCTGGATGTGACGCGGCTGCAAAGGGGAGGAATGCAAGCAAGCACGTGAAGAACACCAAAGTCATGAGACCACGTCGCTGGCACTGCTCCAAACACCCTGTGCATGTTCCACTCCCAACAATCACACACTCGCACCCGCATGCAAGAGCAGATCAGATGAACACAGAAAACAAAGCACACAAAAGCGCAGGTCAGTCACACCGTGACGCGACGGTGAAAACGTGAGGCTGAGCTGAGGTTGGCTTCTGTGTTGGCTGAGGAGAACAAGAGAATGCGACCACCAAGCCAGCGTGAGAAATGTGTGTGTGTGTGTGTGCAGTGGGTGGTTGAGACGTAGCACATATGCCTGCACAGGCTCACGCGTGCACAAGCACACACAACCACGACATGCACACATGTTCACTCACACCACAAATCACTCTCACTCACACACAACCGCTCACACTCACTCACTCCCTCACTTCCTCACTCCCTCACTCCCTCACTCCCTCACTCCCTCACTCCCTCACTCCCTCACTCACTCACTCACTCACTCACTCACTCACTCACTCACTCACTCACTCACTCACTCACTCACTCAAACATACACAAGCACAAATACGTGAGCCTGCTGTGTGATATCTGCAGGCATAAGCTCAATGGTTCAAAGGCCATACCTTGGCAAGAGGTGTGCGCTTGTGCGGCTGAGCTCCTCTTGCACAAACGCAAGATCGTTGTACCGGGCAGCGTGGGCCAACTGCGCAACGGTTGCATGCAAGCAAACAGACATGCACGAGCAAGGTGTGTGGAGGAGCTAATGGTGTGTTCTTCAATAGCGTACGTCCCACAACGATAAAACAAACACACACAAGTGCAGCCACACAGTGCTCCTGTCTCTCCCCCTGCACTGACCATGGTATCGTGGATGGTGGCTGGGTCCTTGACAGCGGCCGTTGCCAGCAGCGCCGCCGTGTGCTGCACATCCGCTTCCGATTGGTCCCTAGTAGTTGTGGTGGTGGTGGTGGTGGTGGTGGTGGTGGTGGTGGTGGTGGTGGTATTGGTGGTGGTGGTGGTGGTGGTATTGGTGGTATTTGAGATGGTGTTCATGTAAGACAGGTGAGGGAGTCGTCAGCACATACAAGCACGCACACACGCACACGCACGCACACAATCACACTGCAAGATGTGACTGTATTCACACCTTGCGAAGGTGATGTGGACGGTTCCTGGCGCGTTCAGGGCGTCTTGTGCTCCGTCAACGTTGGCGTCGCTCTGTGCACCATCAGGCAACAATTCAAACCAGCGAGCATACCTGTGTGAGAACTTAAGCTTACCACCGCAGAGCACTCGTTCCTATGCATAACTGTGCCGCCTGCACTCAAACCACGGCGTGTGACCCCACAACTCACCACACCCTTGCCGTTGATGGCAAGAACGGTATCTGCGTGCCGCAGTCGCCCATCAATCGCTGCCGGCAGCCCCGGCGTTAAATGCTGCACAGGCGATGGTGATGATGATGATGAGGAGGAGGAGGAGGAGGGGGAGGAGGAGGAGGAGGAGGAGGAGGAGGAGGAGGAGGAGGAGAAGGAGGAGGATTCACAGAAGACACGCAGTGTTGCACATGGTGAGTTTTGCAAGTGTGGGGACATGCATTCATACGTGCCACATGCAGATCAAGCAACTATGCTGGCGCTGTTTTCGTACCGAGACGATGATTTCGCCCATATCCGTTGGTGACAGCTCGATACCGGTTCCAAACGAGTCGGCTACCAAGCTGCAAGCAATAGATCAATCAAACAAACGACCGTGCACGCAACCCAAGCAAGCAAACAGGCAGTGACAGCGTGTGGGGTGAGTGTGCCAAATAGGTTATTGGCGAGATGGAAATGTGTCACCTTACCAGCTCACTTTCGTGGCAGCCAACAAATGTGACATTATAGCGCGCCTGGCATGACAACTCACGTGATTGTGGACACCATACGGGAAGTGCTTGTGGCGTCTGGAGTATCGCTGGCTTCCTGGCGCTTTGGCGAGTGGAACAGTAGCGCCTGCTGGCTCCCTACATATCGCAAGTTGCGTTGCAGGTGAGCGCATGTGCATGTGTTTTTGTAGTTTGCAAGCAGTTTGCAATACGCTCGCTGGCTTGTTTGCGCGTGTGCGTGAATGTGCGAATACGAGGGCAAGGACGTGCAGTCGGTGATGCTGGCTGAACGACACATCAAACGGATCAGATGTACAAACAGGCACGACAACCTTGACGAGCATCGATGGCATTGTGTCTCCACACTTGCAGCGTGATCTGCTTTGTCTTGCCTATCATACCGGCAGAAGTGCACAGATGTACAAACACACACGTGAGGGTCGGCGTCTCGTAAAAGGCACGCACGCAGAGCAGACAGGGCTTGGCGTCGACATCAGCAACAAAACGACATCAGCAATAAAACACAACAGAACCCATTGTTCAGGAGTGCAAAAGTATGTGAACTGACCCGCGTAGTGAAGCGCACGCAGTGCTGCGTTGGTTGGCTTGTTCACAACCCATGCATCGTTCACTCTAACGACCTGTAAAATGCATGCACGCAGCATGTTGAGTGTTGTTGCCGCCATGGGAACGCAACGAAGTGTTTGTGTATGAGTGTGTGTGTGTGTGTGTGCGTGTGTGTGTGCGTGTGAGCGACCACATGCAGCAAGATCAACAAAAAAAGGGGGGGAGAAGCCCTGTGACAGTGCTGTATTCACACACGCACACACACACACACGCACACACACACACATGCACGCACGCACACACACAAACACACACATGCAGACCTGATCGTATTTCTGTACTGTGGTGTCGTGGGCCAGCCTCCCGCTGGGATCAATCCAGTCCACAAACACGCCGCTCGCTGTGACGAGCAGACGCTGGATGCGTGGCGGCAGGTCGCCATACTCTGTACATTGGTTGTTTCAACCATGAACCAAAAGCATAAAGGGTGGTGTGACGTGAGACCGCTCAGTCGTGAGCAACGCAATGCCACAACACGCCCTACAAGCACAGAACCACACAGCACAACAGCTATTCGGTAATGATGCATCATGCCATGAGCGAAGCGTACCAATCAGCGTGCAGCCGAGATCAGGTGAGGAGCAGTTGAGCGTACACTCAAAGGACTGGCAGAAAGGCGGCGTCTCGTGGTGCTGTGTCTCTTTGTGCTTCTCCTTTTTGCCCTGCTTGTGCTTCTTGCGTCGTCTCTTCTCCTTCTTGCTTGTTGGAGACGGCTGCTGCTGCTCCGTTGCATTGTGTGATTGCGGGTGTGGTGCGTTGTTTGCCTTCCGCTTGGCCACCTGTCCGCTGTCCCGGCCCTGGGGCGCTGCTGCAGCCACATGTTGCACAGCTTCATCAACCGCAACGGTCTCCTCGCCGCCGCCACCGACGCCGCTGGTGCTGCTGTTGCTTGCGCCTTGAGGCTGCCCCTGCTCGTGTTGTTGTTGATCTCTCTGCTGCACGATCTGGCCAATTCGGCGCCCCGCCTCCTCCTCGTTCTCCACCACCTCGTTCATGTGGCTTGCTCTGCCAACATCATCGTCAGCCGTCACCACTCCATGCGTGCCCTCCTCGTCTTCCTCCCCTTGCGCCGCCCTGGCGCCCTTCCGTCTCCACAATCGCTTCATCTCCGCTTGTATCCAGCTCTGCAGCTCTGCGTCTGTCTTGGTGTAAATGAAGCGTGTGTCTTGCTTCTTGCTTGCTTGCTTGCTTGCAGGCACACACAGTCTTCCCTCGCTCGCTCGCTTCTTGTCATTTATTCATTATTTGCACATCGAATTTGCAAAACAAAACAACAAACAACAACAATAGAACAATCCTGAACCTTTCACCCAAGCACCCATGTTCTTTCTCGTGGTGCCTGTGGTGCCTGTGGTGCAGTCGTCCCTTCCCTTCTTCACTTCAGTCCCTTCTTCACTTCAGTCCCTTGTACCGTCAGGTTGTGGGCAGCGTGCACTGCGTGGAGAAGAACCCTTGCTCTGCAGCAAGGTAGGCATTGAAGGAAGCCTGCCACGCAGCCACCTCGTCTTGGTGGGCGAGCAAATCTGCAATGTGTTTGCGTTGGTTTGGTTGGTACAGCATTAGGGATAAGAGTGAGAAACGAGGACGTGACAACATTTCTAGAATAGTATAGCATGCGCAAGCGCTGAAGGCTTGACACAGCAACTCCCGAGAGACAACCACGTGAACACACAAACACACACACGCGCGCGCGCGCACACACACATTTTCACACACACATTTTCACACACACACGCACACACACACACCTTCACACACACACACATGTTCACTCACACGCACACACAAGCACACCTTGGTGGAAGCAAGCGATGTCGTGTTGGTACTGTTCGTGTTGCAGAATGTAGAGGCTGCTGGCGTGCTGGTACTCATGCTCTGCACTGGACAGACAGACGGGACAGCACGACGGCGCTGCTCCAATCCCGCTCTCATCGGCAAGCGGTGGATAAAACACCTCTTCGCCAACGTCACAGCCAGCCACATGCGGCAACTCAGGGCATTCGCATCCAGCGCGTAACAGTGTCCACTCGACCTTGTTGTCAGCAGCAACACTGGTGTTGAACGCCGCCAGCAGCGCATCCCTCAGCAGCTGTGTCGCCGCGTGTGTGCCGCCAGCAAGCACTGACACGTCAATGGAGACCGTTCCGTTGATCACTTGTGTCGTATCAGCTGCCCTTGTGACGCGCATGTGCTTTGTGGTGGTGCCTGGAATGGCATCGTCGAACCTGGAGAGGAGGTGCTCATATCCACCCATTGCCGCCAGTTCCGTCTCGCTAGCCAGCACCACAACGCGCAGCACAACCCCTGTCAACAAAGACACGTGCGCGGGTGATGGTGTGTACGCAAAAATACATGAGTTCATGAATGACACACAAGCATGCGGAGCGTTCACTGTGTTTGCTCGTGTGTATGCCGTTTGGATGTGTGTGCACTATTCTTACATGCTTCTTCCCCTCTTGCATTCCCCCATTTGTCTGCGTGTGTGCGTGCGTGCGTGCGTGTGTGTGTGTGTGTGTGTGTGTGTGTGTGTGTGTGTGTGTGTGTGTGTGTGTGTGTGTGTGTGTGTGTGTGTGTGTGTGTGTGTGTGTGTGTGT